ACTATGCATTCTGTTAGTTTTGCAAATTTGTATGTTTCATCGGGCCGCGAAGAAAAGAGTTGAGTATCATCAGCATAACAGTGAAAGCTAACACCATGTTTCTTGATGATATCTCCCAAGGGTAACATGTAAAGCGTGAAGAGTAACGGCCCTAGTACTGAGCCTTGAGGTACTCCATACTGCACTGGTGATCTATATGATACCTCTTCATTCACTGAAACGAATTATTGATGGTCAGATAAGTACGATTTGAACCATGACAATGCAATTCCACTAATGCCAACATAATTTTGTAGTCTACTCCGGTATATGGACTGTTAGTTGGTGATGCTGAGAGTGTTGTGTTGAAGGTGTGTGAAGGTCTGCGGAGGCATCTAGAGGAGTGTGAGGAGGAGAGCGACTGTGACAGCAGGAGAACACAAGAGGAGGCAGAACCTGCTGCAGGAGCCGTACGTACCACAAACTCCAACCCTACATGATATAGAAAACATGATAAATGTGCATCTTCACTCGTTCACTGTGTGCGTTTGCCAGAGAGAGACGAGAGATGGCGGAGAAAACGCACACGTCACATACCTACTGTCCATACAAAGTCAATAACGTTAACTTTGGTTACCAGGACATCAATAATGTGTCATATTACTTTTAAAAGTGATAGAATTGGTGAAGTAAAACTTGCTTATCTCACCAGACTCTCACCTCGTCCTTGAACTTTGCCAAGTACTAAATACAGTCAAATCTAATTTATTTCTATAGTGCTTCATACAATACAGCTTGTTTCAAAGCAGCTTCACAGTAATATAAACAGTGTCATTATAATTGAATATTAATTGTCTTTTAAATCTTCACTGAGGAAGTCAAAGGCGACAGTGGCAAGGAACCCAAATTATGGCATAGTTTATATCAGGGGCGTCCAGACCTGCTCCTGGAGGTCCTGCAGAGTTTAACTCACACCAGCTCCAGCACGAGTTTCTAGCACAAACTTCCTTCGTCCGCTTGACAAAATGAAGCTTCCCTGAGTGATGTTCGCGAGTATTTTTATTGATATCTTTTATTCGTCTTCTCTCAGGAGCGGCGTCAGTCGGCGGTGAACAGCGACGTGGCGGCGTTTGCGCTGAAGGCGAGGGTGGTGTATCCCATCAGCCAGAGATACAGAGTGAGTCCTGATCTCCAGTCAGTCAGAGCTTCAGTGCTGACTCGTTATTAATGTGTGTGTTTGATGAATGTTAGCCGCTAGCAGACGGAGCCTCCAACCCTTCCCTGCACGAGCCGCCCAAGCGCCAGGCCCCGCCCAGCCAGGACTCCGCCTCCTCGCTGGGTGATGATTGGCTGAGCCAAAAGAGGGACGATGATGATGAAAGCAGTCAGTTCGTCTCCTGCGGCCCCTCGTCTAAAACACACGCCAGTCACGTGTTCAGGAGAGTCCGGCACTACCCACAAACCCTGTGTCTCTCACGGTCAGACAAACTCATGCACACACACGCACCCTCACACACACACACGCACTCACTCACACACACACGCACTCACTCACACACACGCACACACACACACACACACACTCTCTCTCACACACTCACTCACACACACACACACACACACACTCACACACACGCACACACACGCACTCACTCACACACACGCACACACACGCACTCACTCACACACACGCACACACACGCACTCACTCACACACACGCACACACACGCACTCACTCACACACACGCACACACACGCACTCACTCACACACACGCACACACACGCACTCACTCACACACACGCACACACACGCACTCACTCACACACACGCACACACACGCACTCACTCACACACACGCACACACACGCACTCACTCACACACACGCACACACACGCACTCACTCACACACACGCACACACACGCACTCACTCACACACACGCACACACACGCACTCACTCACACACACGCACACACACGCACTCACTCACACACACGCACACACACGCACTCACTCACACACACGCACACACACACACACTCACTCACACACACTCACTCACACACACGAACACACACACGCACTCACACAGAACATTTGATTGGCTCCAGATGAAAAGTACACGGGAAGAAACATGCATGTGCTCTTACTGTGAAAAGCGACTTACACTGTGTCCTAACTACACACACCGCCGCGACACGCTGTAAAAGCGTATCTTTTCCATGTTAATCTGAGATTTTGTCTTAATCAGCCACGACAGCGAACTCTAGAAGCGGTTTCTATTTTCTGCGCGTAGCCTTGTTGCGTCTGGTTAGGACACGGTGTTACAAATGAGGAGTGCAACAAGCGGTTCGAACATCTTCCAGTCGTACAAGCTGAAACACTGAGAGATTTAGTAGAAATAGTGAAAAAGAGATTCCCCTAAACACTAGGGCTGTGCAATTAATCGCATGCGATTGTCATGCGCATCTCGTCAGTAAAGTCGGTCCCGTGATTAATAGTAAATCTCCATCACCTGCTTTCAGATGGAGCGGCATTCACTACACAGAGCCCACAGATAACCAGCCATGGAGATTTATTCCCAGTGCTGATATTTGTGTATTTTTGCAGGGTGAGTTTGCTGTGTTTGACTCTACAGGAACTACAGCTGCACACGTCACAACTACAGCAGCAGAAGTACAGGGTACGACACACATCGACACAGCTGTCCGTACATAATATACTGCTGAAGATTCATGACGAATGAAGAGAATTCACCAGAGAATGACATTAGGTGACATTTATTCATTTAGCAGATGTTTTTCACTTACAAATGCAGAAAAACAGAAGCAGTTTATCACATAAAAGCAGCAGTATTAGCAGATTTAGTCAGATGAAAACCAGACTAGAGCTTCCTTTGTAGTGGCAATAGAAGGTGCTTTGTGTGTGATCCGTATGTGCCTTTATAATGTCAGTGTGTTTTCATTTCGTTTCATGATCTAACTCATTACTGTTGTTCTCTGTGGATCTGCTGCAGATGTTCCTGCAGGTTCTGCGAGTGTTGTTGGGCCACAGAGAGCATGCAGACGTGATTCACCAGCAGCAGCAGCAGGTGAGACACACATGACCGTAACGGACCAGCGGCGGGCTCACGAGTGATGCGGATTCAGCTCAAAATCATGTTCACATGACACTTGCTGTACTGAACGTGTTCAATGTCCTGCAGGAGGTGGAGCTGCTGATGAGGGGCGTGTCTGTGGATGAGGGGGCGGAGACTGACACGGTCATGTGCTCTATAGAGGAGGTGGAGAAAACAGGACGGGAGCAGCTGGAGCGCTCACTGCAGATGGTAACCTTCCAAAACACTGTTCACTATTTATACTAAAACGGCAAAGACTAGTGCATGAATTGGGCCACACTCAGTGCCATTGAAGAACTGTAGACTGTATATGCAGCATCTCTGTCTGTGACTCGCTCTTTACATACACACCTGTGTGTTCAGGCTGTGAGTTTTGCGAAGCAGCTGGAGCAGCTCGGGCAGACTCTTCACCTCACGTTTTCCAGTGACGTCTCAGAGGAAGTGATGCGTAGCGTGATCGGGTGCCTGCGACCGATGGAGGACATTGTGGCTGAGGTTCAGGCATCCGTTCTGAAGGTGAGGATCACGCGCCGCAGCTGTCACGCTCGTGCCGCCGCTGAACTCAGACTAACGCCAGTGTTTGACAGATGCTGTTGGACCGGTTTGAGTGCTGGCAGGAAGTGTCCGATGGCCTGAGAGAGAAGACTGTGCTCCAGAAACGGGAGGCGGAGCTTATGCTGAAAGTCACTGGCCAATCAGTGCAGGAGCTGAGAGATGATGGACGGCTGGAGAAACAGACTCTCAGTGACGTGGAGACTGCAGTTAATGAAGCACTGGAGCAGAGCGCTGACGGTACCGACACATGACCAACATCACCGCTGTGCTCTGAATCCTCTTATTTCACCCCTGTGTGTGTGTGTGTGTGTGTGTGTGTAGAGATCAGACGTCAGACTGAAGAGCTCGCCCTGGATCGCTGTCAGAAGGCCTGTGTGAAGAGGAGGAGGATGATGAAGGCTCAGAGCTCTGAGTGGAGTCCTGTGTCAGACACGCAGACGGACGCTCGTCTCACGATGAAGGTGAGAAACAGCATGGACTCATCTGCTGGAAAGACTGTCTGTCTGTCTGTCCGTTCGTCTGTCTGTCTGTCTATCTGTCTGTCTCACTGTCTGTCCATCCGTCCGTTCGTCTGTCTCACTGTCTATCTGTCTGTCTCACTGTCTGTCTGTCCGTTCGTCTGTCTGTCTGTCTATCTGTCTGTCTCACTCTCTATCTGTCTGTCTCGCTGTCTGTCCGTTCGTCTGTCTGTCTATCTGTCTGTCCATCCGTCCGTTCGTCTGTCTGTCTATCTGTCTGTCCATCTGTCCGTTCGTCTGTCTCACTGTCTGTCCGTTCGTCTGTCTGTCTATCTGTCTGTCCATCCGTCCATTCGTCTGTCTCACTGTCTGTCCATCCGTCCGTTCGTCTGTCTCACTGTCTATCTGTCTGTCTCACTGTCTGTCTGTCCGTTCGTCTGTCTGTCTGTCTATCTGTCTGTCTCACTCTCTATCTGTCTGTCTCGCTGTCTGTCCGTTCGTTCGTCTGTCTATCTGTCTGTCCATCCGTCCGTTCGTCTGTCTCACTCTGTCTGTCTGTCTCACTGTCTATCTGTCTGTCTCACTGTCTGTCCGTTCGTCTGTCTGTCTCACTGTCTGTCCATCCGTCCGTTCGTCTGTCTCACTGTCTGTCTGTCTATCTGTCTGTCTAACTGTCTGTCCATCCGTCCGTTCATCTGTCTCACTGTCTATCTGTCTGTCTGTCTATCTGTCTGTCTCACTGTCTGTCCATCCGTCCGTTCGTCTGTCTCACTGTCTGTCTGTCTATCTGTCTGTCTAACTGTCTGTCCATCCGTCCGTTCATCTGTCTCACTGTCTATCTGTCCGTCCGTCCGTCTGTCTGTCTCACTGTCTGTCTGTGTCAATGTCTGTCCGTCCGTCTGTCTGTCTGTCTGTCTGTCTGTGCAGGTGTTTGCGGAGCTGCAGGTGAGACACTGGCATCAGAAGCGAGACTTTGAGCTGCAGCAGGACACAAGAATCAGTGACGCTCTGTGTGAACGCTGGACGGTCAGTGTGTGTGTGTGTGTGTGTGTGTGTGTGTGTGACCCCTGTGACGTGTGTATCAGTAGTGTGTGTGTGTTTATTGTCACACAGAGCTTGTGTAGTAAGTGCAGCAGACGCGTCGCTGATTTGTGCTCAGAGTTCGTCCTGAGCAGCGTCACTGCAGGCTCCGCCCCCTCCACAGACCATGGCCAATCAGTGCTGCAGAGCATGAAGCTCACCGTGACCAATCAGATGCAGCGAGAGGAAAGACACGCCCACACACACCTGCGCACGCTCAGAGAGCAGCTGCAGCGACGCAGACAGGTGATGCCGTTACACCAGTCACATGCAGTATACTGACGAGCATTATGGGATGTGTTGAAGAGCATTGTGGAATGCTGCAGGTGTGGCTGGAGGACGAGGCTTTGACTCGCGCATGTCTGGATCACTTTGGAGAACAGCAGCGCGAGGTCGTCACGGCGACGGTTTCCAGGTGTTCAGATATGCAGATGAGGTGAGTCCATGATGCACTGATTGAGCCGTTCATTCGTTATTTAATGGATTGATTGACTGATGGATTTGATTGGTTGCAGTTGTGCTCTAATTGAAGAGCAGCAGCATCTTTTGATTCTGGAGTTTCAGAGAATTTTAGCAGCTCGATGTTTTTACCTGCGATCTGTGAGAGAGATGAAGCTGAATCAGCTGACGGATGCACAGGTACACACACGCTCACATTTACACACAAATATACTCACTCGCGCTCAGAAACTTACACTCGTACACACATACACACTCACACACACACACAGACTTTCAACTTTCCGTTGCCTCCAGGACTCTTGTGTTGCCATGGAAACGGTCTCGTCTGACGCGACTGTGATTGGTCAGAATCTCCTGCACGAGCAGCTGTCGGAGCTGGAAGCCGCTGCTGATGTGCTGCAGGGACACGCCCACTTCCTGATTGGCCACGCCCTCGCCCGTGCGGCGCGCCTGCAGATGGGCGGAGCTTCTGCTAGAGACAGACGGGTGAAGGTTGGTACGGCGCATCATTATCATGAGCTTCACTGTGTGAGCTGCGCTTAAACCTCACGTTTATGATCATCATGATGTCAGACTGAAGGTAGTGAGCGAGAACGGGTGTGTGGTGTGACACAGGATGATCATCGTGAAACACTGTAAAATAATGAATCATCATCAGGAGTCCGTGTCTCTCTCTGTCTGCAGGAGCGGCTGATCGACGCCGTGTGTGAAAGCGTCTATGTGACACGTGATTCTGTTTCGTCTCTCGTCCGGGAATATTACTCTGGGATCCGGAACACGAGCCTCACGCCACACAGCAGCGCCGCTGGTACGAGTCCCGACCGCCTCTTCTGCTGCTGGAGTCACCTTCATTCCTGTAATGCTTGATATAACACAGATTAGACCTGGGCGATAAAACGGTATCGATATTTATCGACGGTACACCCTCTTCGATAACGATATAAAAAATGTTCGATATAGTGCACGATATAGTGACGCAGACAGCACACACAAACACGAACATGAGGTGCTGTGCTGCCTGTGATGAGGAGATTGTGAGATCGTTGATACATTTTTTAGCTCTATCGCCCAGCCCTAATACAGATACTGTTGCTTTACAGTAATAAACAGGAAAGTCAGCATTGTTCTTAATTTAAGCAGTCATTTTAATTACATCTTTATAATTCAGTTCAAAGTCAAAGGAGACTGTGATGGAGGAAAACAACCTCAACAGAAACCAGGTGCTGCTGCGTGACGCGTTTAAGCGAAGGTTTCTCCTGAAAACACTCATTCACTGTGTCTGTGTGTGTGTGTGTGTGTGTGTGTGAGAGTGTGTGTG